ATATATATATATATATATATATATATATATATATATATATATATATAGATTTAGGTTCATGTGAGAATATAATCTTAGGAAAGCAAAAAAAAATAGATCAAGGCCGTCGGATTCAATTAGTGTTCCTTCAAGTATGATCATACGTGTAAGGGTAAGTAGGTCATTCTCTCATATTCTCCTTTCAAATTAGAACCGTACACGATTATTTAGGATCTAACAATTAATTCTTCCCTTATTTTCGTTTTCAATTTCCTTAACCATCTCCGTCTTTTCCGACCCTCTTCTCTGCGTGACTGTGTCTCCTCCTACTCTCTCCTTTGCTTCTCCTATCCTCTCCTCTGTATCTCTCGTCTAGAAACGACCCCTGTGCAATAGGGCCACAAAATCGCAGAAGTTGAAGAGTGAAAGCAGCGTTGTGGTGTCCTGACATCTCGTGAAATCCCTATTTGCACAAGGTTGTTCAAGACGGTATTCGTAGAACCAACCCCAACAAAATAGACAAGAAAAAACACCAGAAATCAGCTCCTCCACCCTGCGCAAGAAGTATATTAACCTCTAAGATTCCCTCCCCATAATCAAAGCTTCCCGGGTTGGACGATAGGAGAGGCTCTGTTGTCATCTCTTTAGCACCCTTATCTACTATAAAAGACTTGGTGAGAAGTGATAGATGTGTTGAATTTTACTATATACAGAGTATATATACTACTTTTAGTATACATGCGTTGAATTGATCATACACTGAATCCATCTTTTTAGTAATCTTAATTATTAATTCTAATTCACTATTCGTGCACTTATCATACTTTGGTTGGCACTTTTATTAGTTTTAATTTTTTCCCTTTTCTGCAGGTATGTTGTTGTGTCAATGGTGCACTAGCATGTATAATTCGATGCACTATGTTGTTATTTAGTCTGCACCAAAGGCAAATTATAATATTGCACTCATGTATTCCATGCTTTCATATGAATACTGGTTGTTCAATTGGATGCAATAATAAATGATTGTTGCACTCGTATATTATTGTCATGTTATGCATTTACGTGTTAAATATGGAACACTTACATCATAGATATCTATATGAGTTTAAGATAAATTGATACATTTTCTATTACACTTATGATGCACTTACTATACTTTATTCATGCACTTTTCATTAATTAGTTTTCAATTTTACTTTTGTTTGCAGATACCAGTGACATCAGAAGACGCCATCATAATGGAACAAATATGATGCTTTTGGATGAAAAGTGTATTTCATTTTGTAAAAAGTGCCAACGTAAAATTTTAGAAAGTGTCATATATGATAATGCACTTTTGTATATATTTGAAATGCACACAATAAAATGCATATTATTTTGTAAAAGAGTGTCAATGCAAAACTTCACAAAGCGTAATATAATAGTGCACTTTTCTATATAAATAAAATGCACGTGATAGTGGATAGTTTATACCCTTGTATATTTGTATTCAATTTTATATTTAAAATATGTATGGATGTGCAAAACTTCATGTGTAACATAGAATAATATTGTACAAAGTACAAACTAATAACATAAAAGTGCAGTTTATAACAGACAAATTAACTCACCATAATCGGGCAATTAAATAATAATAATTACTAACCTAATAATAATGTGAGAAAATAATAATTTTGGAAGGAAATTAATCAAATAAAAAGAAGTAATTATTAGAATAAATGTTGCATAAAATTTTGTACATAAGTGTACTTATTCAACATCGGAGTGCAGATATACAACCAATGAAATATTATATCTTCAAATAAAATGATTAAACAAATATAATAATAATTTAATAGAGTTTTTTAAAATTATTTAGTGCGGTGGAATTCAATTTGAGAGAATAGCTAGGAACGTAATCTTGGAAAGAAATTTAAAACCATAAATCATTTATTAGAATAAATGGAGGTAGTTACGTGTTATTAATTATCACCTATTTTGTAGGGATATCTTCCTATTTTGATGATTCACGCATGATAACTACATGGTTGGATTTTACAATTGTGTCCTTAGTAAATATTGAGTTACGTTGTTGCCATATTTACAACCAAAGTGGTCCGAAAATTATGCACCATCAACATCCTTTCTGAAAATTCCTAGGCCATTAGATTGAAAGAATCAAAGGTTGGATATCATTCTTTTTTCCTCTCCTAAGAGGGTGTTCTCACAGGAACTAACCCCTATATATATATATATATATATATTACTTTTATTTTTATATTTTTGGGGTTAGGTGGAACTTACTTAGCATTGTTGCTAATTTTTGTTTCTTTTATTTTTTTTTTCTGTACTTTATTTGTACAGGTGATGATTTGATGAAGGTGTTGATTCTGAGAGAGCTTCCGCTAGAAAAAATGTAATAAATAGATAACATTGTAGTTTAATTTAGTTTTCAAGACAATTATTGAGTTTAATTGTTTTTAAGGGATTAGCCTGTGCACTTGGTTAGGTTAGAGCCGAGTGTGGCGGTAACGCCCCTATTTTCCTTTTGATTTTCCGCTGCACAATTCTGATGTTTTCAAATAAAGTTAATAAATAATGTTTTATTTAAAGGTATTTTTGGGTGGGAAATTTGGGGGTGTTACACATTGTCTACTAGAACTCGATGAATGATTGTATTGTTGATCTCCACATTAATCATTAAGGCGTCCCTATGCGGTGGTGGCATGGGTGGTAGGTCATCATCGGTGAAGTAGATCGGATCTCTTCTCATCCTCTTTTCTGCAGGTACCCGGGTAATTTCTCCGACGTACAAGGATCGAGCCCATCGTTTCCTTTCGCCTGACGTGTCCCCTCCTTGGAGGCTGCCCACGATGTAGGAGCATCTGTGATGCTTCCGGGCTTCCTCTCCTAGGTCACACTCGTCATCCTCGGATAGAGCTCCGAGCTCGCACTTCTTTGATGGTTGGTCAAGGGGCTGTTTCTCCTTGGACGTGGTGGCTTGATCGGAACGCCTCCATGTCAGGTTCCTCCCTTTCTAGGCATATCCTGATTTTCCTACAAATTGGCCCAAATATCCTTGTTTGATAAGTGCCTCGATTTGTCTACGGAGAACGATGCATCCGTCCGTATCATGTCCGAAATTCCGGTGAAACCTACAGTACTGGTCGGTATTGCGATTGGCATTGACTACGTCACATTCCTCTGGAAAGGAAACCAAACCCTGCTCCTCGGCATAGTCGAGGACCGTCCCGACCGGTTGGGCCAAAGGTGTCAGATGTTTGGTAGGTAGGAGCGGACCGTTCGGGACGTCTGTCCTTCCCTTGTTCTTATTCTTCTTACCTTTGAACCGGCCGCCCTTTCCACTCGACTTCCTATCGGCGTCTTCATCATCCGGGTCACCACATCTTCCCTTGTCCTTCGTGTCTTCTTTCTTTCCATCCTCTTCATCTTTCTTTCTCTGTTCAGCATCCTCTGCCTCTGCCTGACAGTCTGCCCGCCTCAGGGCTTCCTCGTATAAAGCGGGTGGATTCCTAACAAAATCCTTGTAAAGTTCTCCTGATCGGACAGAATTTCACAACATTGCCACTTCGGTCCTGTCGTCAAGGCCCTGAACCTTGACCGACTCGACCCTCCACCTTGCCAGGAAAGTGGACATAGCCTCTTTCTTTCCTTGCTTCAGGCTGAACAGGTGGCTGAAATTCTTCTTCACATCTCGTGAGCCGGAGAACCTCAAGAGGAAGTGCCTTGCCAACTCCCTGAAGTTCCCGATGCTCCCATCGGGTAGTGTGTCATACCACTCACGAGCCGGGCCATCTAGAGTAGCCGCGAATCCTCTGCATCGTATGGCATCTTCGTACCCCATCATGACCATATATGATAGGTAACGTGATATGTGATGTTGCGGGTCTAAAGTGCCCTTGTAAGTATCCACATTGCAAGGTTTGTAACCCCTTGGCAACGGAGTCTCCATTACAACAGGAGTGAAGGGCTCCGGGGTATGGAGGTCGGCCACGTATGGCTCTCCCCCAACGACCCTTCTCATTAACTCGTCCAGCCTTACTCTGAGATCCTCCATGGCTTCGGGTGTTGGCTCCTCCTGCGCTCGCCCAGCACGGGGCTGGACTCGCGCATAAGATTCTGCGACCCTTTCACGCATGCGAGGTTGAGGCCCAGCACGACGCCTTTCTAGGGGACCGGTTCGTCCACTTGGTTGGCGGGAGTGACGAGACAGGTCACGACCTCCCTCCTGTGATGAGTCTTGACGGGGTCCCCCCATTCCAGACCGTTGCAGCTGCTCAACACGTCGAGGCACATGTTCCCTCCGGGGAGAGGATTCCCTTCGTGATTCGTCCGGGCTGGTATGTCGCCCTACGTATCTCCCGGAAGATGTCTCAAGGTCCTCTGGGGTAACATGTCCCAAAATTTCGTGAATTGCCCTCTGCGGCATCATTCGCTGAAATCCCTGAGCCAATTCTTTAATGGCGCATGTGGCTTGGTGTAGCGCCTGCACTCCAGCATCAAGTTGAGTCGCTCTCCTTCGCCCAACTAACTCTTCCCCTTTGGGCCAGCCGACCCAATCGTTAAATGAACAATCTGAGGATCCATCTTCTTTAGTTGGGCCGTGTTTTGGGCTTGTTTAGGCCTAAACCCGGATATAGTGGGTCAACAGTATTGTACTCGGCCCATTATCCCAACAGAAGGCAGGCTTTTTGGGGATGACTATAGTAATTTGGAATTGTTGAGGGCTCGAAAATTTGGCAACTATCTAGCGTTGTCCCAATCCAGCAATTGGGAAGGAGATCAAAGGGTTGGTTTTTTGTGGATCAACATGGGTGGAGGGTGGTGGCGGTAGTGGAGGTTGCACGTCCACAAGCAGACTATGAGTGATGAAGAGTTGACAAAGGGTTTGTTTTTTGTGCTTCACATTCGTATTGCTCTTTCAATGTGATCGTTTCAAAGTATAGCCGTAGGAGTGAAAGTGCAGCTGATTACATATAGTTATTGTTAGTGTTCGATTTTTTTAGTTTATCGAAAGAACCTGAATCTTAACGATATTAATATAACTGGGTTATCATTTAAAAAAAATCAAAATAAAAATAACCGGCTGGACCCAGTCCCAATACAACCTACTACGTACGAAGTATTTCATTTTAGTGAGAGAAACACTCAATTGAGGAGATTTTTTTCTATGATTTGGTGGCTTGATGTACGGTTTTGCTTAATGGCTACGTGCTCTCTACTTGTCTGGGAGTATTTACTCCGTCATACTTGTCTGACTAATTTTCTGAACAAACAAATACTAGAAACTCACTCATAAAAGCTATGCTGCAACGATTTTTTCGTCTCTTCAAAACCTTCATCGCATCAATAATGGCTTCAACTACCTCACCGAAACTGGTCCACGATTTCTTCCCCTTTTTCCGCGTCTACGAGGACGGCCGCGTCGAGAGAGGAATCAACTACGTCTCCAAACCTCCATCCGACAACCCCGCAACCGGCGTCAGATCCAGAGACGTCGTCATCGTACCGGAACACAACGTCTGGGCTCGCCTTTACCTCCCCAAAATCACCGACCACGGCCAAAACTTCCCCGTTCTCGTCTACATCCACGGCGGCGCGTTCGCGATCGAGTCCGCTTCCTCCTCCACGTACGATTCCTATCTCCACGCGTTGACGGCCAAAGCGAACGTCCTCACCGTTTCAATCGATTACAGATTGGCTCCAGAGCATAAGCTCCCCGCCTGTTACGACGATTCGTGGGCGGTTATTCAGTGGGTCGCGTCACACGCTCAGGAAGGTGGATCCGGATCCGATCCGTGGCTGAAAAGCCACGCGGATCTCGCCCGGGTTTTCCTGGCGGGCGATAGCGCGGGGGGCAATATTGCTCACAACATGATGGTGAAAGCAGGTGGGAGTGGGTTGAAGCCGGTGGGAATGATTCTGGCCCACCCGTATTTTGGAAACGGGAAGCCTGACAAGCTGTGGGAGTGCGTTAACCCGGAATCAAAGGGGCCGGATGACCCGATGCATAACCCGGCGGCTTCTCCGGAAATTCTTTCCGGGCTGGTGTGCTCGAAAATCATGGTGGTTATTTCGGAGAAGGATTTCATCAGAGAAGGGGGATTGAAATATTACGAGGCGCTGAAGAAGAGTGGGTGGGGAGGCGAATTGGAGGTCGTGGATGTGGAAGGCGAAGTACACGTCTTCCATTTGTTGAACCCGACTTGTAAGAAAGCGGGTTCACTCATGGACCGGGCCGTTTCATTCCTCAATAACCTTTGATTGAATTGTACGGATTAATACTCTTTAATTAATTAATAAATGAAGTGCGAGTAGTAATCTCCTTCAAGCTTTCTTGCTCTTCCGTTTTGTCTGCTATTCTTGCTTTCTTGGGAATTTTGATTTTATAATGTATAAAAAAATGTGTAATATACTTTTGTGCTAATGGAGTAATGGTTTGCTTAGGCATGGACCCAACCGGCCCGAACCGGATCGGAACCGGCACGAACCGGCCCGGAACCGGCCCGTTACTGTACGAACCCGGACCGGACCGGACCCGGATGGCCGGTTCCGGGCTTTAGCCCGAGTTGAGCGGGCCTGGCGGTTAGGCCGATTCAGGCCGGTTCCGGGCCTTTTTTTCAATTTTTTTTCTTTCCCTTGGGTAGGGCGAGGTGTTTTGGAGAGGTTTGGGGGTGGGGGTGGGGGGGTCAGGGGATAACCAGAAAGCCAAAAAAAAATTATACGTTGAACCGGTCCGTCCCTTTTTGGCTCGGACCCGGTGTCAACCCGGGCCGGATCCGGGCCCAAGTTTCTGAAAAAAAAGCTCACCCGGGGCCAGCCTGGAACCGGAACTGGACCGGCCCGAGTCTTTCCCTTGGGTAGGCCCTCCTACTTTAGACAATTTCTCAATTAAGCCGTCACACTTAGTAATCACCCAATCCGGTCCCTGAACTAACCAAATCGCTCCAATCAGGCTTTTTAGCCGGTGGAGTGCCGGTTAGCCCGTTGTGTGCTGATCTGGATGCCCTCGTGTCCCTCCATCACCCGGCAATTTATTTGACGTGGCTAACCCCCTTTTAAACTAACCTCCTTCGCAGACCTAGATCTCCTTCGCAGACAACTAACCTTCTCCTTCGCAGACAACTAACCCCTTCGCAGGTATGTCGTCTTCATCATCTTCGCAGGTTGTAAAACAAAGAAGCCGTACTATGGACTACGAGCCTGCTGTTTATTGTTGGTGCGGATTGAAAGCTCCTCTATGCTTTGGACGAGAGAGTGGGAGGACTTTTTATGGTTGTCAAAAATGGAAGGTAAGTCCATGTTTTGGGTGTGTGGTTGAGAAGTTCAGTGTGTTGCCTTGTTAATTGCTTGCATATGTTAAATGTGTACAGGTTGGGAGTTGTGGTTTTTTCTTATGGAAAGAAGACATAGGAATAAAAGAAATTGCCAGGAGTGAAGAGAAGAAAGAATTTGGTATGGCTATAGAGAAGAGCGAAATTGCAGATGAATTGAAAAAAATGGTTGAAGTACTTGTCATGCAGATTTCACATGTACAGAGTGATGTTGCTTGTGTCAAAACTGTGATTGACAATGAGGCGAAGATTAACAAAAAAAGGTAGGAAGTTGTATGGGTTAGCTATGATTGTACTTCTTGGTTCAGTGAGGAGTGTGTAGTTGAGGATGTAAGCTTGGCAATGTGTGAATACTTATGTACTTGATGTTGTGTACTGTTTTTCAGTTAGTTTGTTATGTAATTGCTTTGTAATGGCACAATGTTGCTTGAATACAATGTTTGTTATGGCAAATGCTTAAGTTTTTCAGTTTGTCAGATTACATGTAGGGCCAAATGTTTTGGACTATGTTACAATTTATAATTCTTACTTCTAAAACCATGGTGCTTTGTACAAGTTCTTAATTCTGAAAGCCATGGTGCTTTGTACAGGTTCTTAATTCTGAAAGTCATGGTCAGTTACACGTTATAAGTGACCTATCTGCTTTGCACTATGGTCATTACACATTACAGCAAAGTAAAAACATAAAGTACACCAAAGTACACCATTGATTCACAAAATGCAGGACACATTACCATAACTGAGTTCTTCATACACCAAACATATAGCCAAAATACACCAAACATACACCAAACATAATACCAAACATAAAAGCAATACTAAGAGAAGAACTACAATATTCCAAAATACAGAATCCACAAAATAAACATCACACATCCAGCCTGTCAACTGAACTCCCCTTCTCACCTCTTCCACTTTCAACAGTCCCTCTGCCTCCCCTATTTTCTCTACCCCTTTGACCTCTTCCACTTTGAAGACTTGCTCTGCCTCCCCTATTTTGTCTACCCATTTGACCTCTTCCAATTTCAGCAGTTGTTGTATCACCCTGGGTTTCTTCTGTGATGGGTATAGTCCTTTGTGAACATGACTTCTTATTGTGCTCGTCCCCTTTACAGATTGAGCATTTCACAATTCTTCCTATTCTTGGTAGTTGAGTACTTGATGATGCATGGGGTTCAGTTTCTTCTCTCACTCTTTTCTTCTTAGGGAGGCCACTCATTTTCTTTGGTATGGGAGGTAGAATGTCTTCATGCTGTGTTCTTGGCCACAATAACTCCCCATTTATTGAGTGCAGAGTGTATGAGTATGTTTTTTCATATAGTTCCTTGGAGTACCAAGAGTCCACATAGCTTTCAGGGTCCTCACCTTTATCAAGAATAGGACAAATGGCATGTGCACAGGGAATTCCACATAGATCCCATCTTCTGCAAGCACATTTTTTTTGTTTAGGCTGACCTTGTATTGATATCTGCCTTTTTTTATCTCATAGCCATCATCCCCATTGAAATCAACATGCGAGCCTTGGCTTGCTAATATATTTTTGTTCAACTTCTTCATAATGAGTGGACCAAATGCACCTGCACAGCATGAGTGGACCAATAAATTATTGTCAGTTTATAGGCCATACATGCTAAAGATAAAACTTAATCAAGTCTCAAAATAATCATGACCTGGCCACTTCCTCTCATTCTTTCTTTTTTTGGCTATTCTTTTCATCATACCCACTCTCATGCCCTCTAGCATTGGGACAAGGGGTTTGTCTCTGAGTTGAACAAGAGTGTTGTTAAATGCCTCAGACAAATTGTTGTCTACAGTATCACACTTTACCTCAGTCCTAAAATAAGCCTTGCACCATAGCTTTAGTGGGTACTTGCGCAAGTCATTACATGCTTGAGGGTCAAGCTTATCTAACTCATTCAAACTAGCCTCCAAATGCCCTTCAGAGGTGGCCTTTGCACATTGCCAGAACAATTTCTTAAGCTGCAATCCTCTGTGATTTTTGGTCCAGTTGGCATGTATATGCCTAGCACAATTCCTGTGCTCAGCATCTGGGAGAACATTTGCAATAACATTTGACAGTCCTTATAGCAATTACAAGTTTGAAAACACTTAGTAGAAGATAAAAGTACACAATGAAGCAATGAATTGTAAGAAAACTTACTTTCTGTTGATCACTTATTATGGTCCATTCAGCCGGGTTGTTGATCTGCAGGTCTTCCTTCAGAAGGTGTAAAAACCAAGTCCATGATGAATTGTTTTCTATCTCTACTACTGCCCAAGCAATCGGGTACATTTGATTATTCGCATCTCTTCCCACATCACTTAAAATCTCCCCTTCAACTGTCCTTTTAGAAAGCAACCATCCAAACCAATAACTTTCCTACAACCTTCCAAAAAACCCCTCTTTACTGGTCCAAAACACATATAAATCCTTCGAAATGCCATTGGAGCATCATGCACCACTCTGTCAGTTTTAATAACAACTGTACTCCCAGGAATTGATCTCAACACTTCCTCTCCATAATTTCTGAGCTTCCTAAATTGGTCCTTAAAAGGAGATTGTGTGTTATCTTGCATAATTTTTAATGCTCTTGAAGCCATACTAATGGTCACACTCAATTTATGTTCAGCCTTAAGCAATTCTTTAAGCTCTACAGCAGTCATGGTGGGATTTTCTGTCAACTTTTCCTCATAAGTGTCAGCTATCCAACTCTGACTAACTATTCTAAGCTTGAATTTTAGGTTACATAGATGGTCTGGGTTCCAAACTTTAAATTGAAGGCATTTTAACCTATCTTCCCATGAAGCAGTACTTGCAAAGGGGCAATTTATGGCACACTTCAGTCTGACTCTGAGGGGCTCATTTTTAACAAAAACTATATCTCTCTTATTATACACAGCATACCTGACCATAGCACTTTTAAATTGCTTACCATCCTCAAACAACATCCTCACCTTAAAATGGAGGGTCATATTATGGGTTATAGGATCCATTTATGTTACCTGGCCTTTTGGACTTAGATGCATCTTCCTCATCTGAATGCACGCTAGGTGGGTTAGATGAGTCATATTCGGTAGTATCTTCCTCATTATCAGATTGAAGCCCTTGATCAAGAATGTGCACTGATAGAGTATATCTAGAGAGAAGTGAGAGCTAGAGAGAGAAGTGCAATAATATGCTTCAATAGAATGATTTCGTAACCCCTATAACTACTCCCAAGGGGAGTATTTATAGAGAAAATTAGGGTTGGGCTCCCAAGCCTTGGGCTTGGGAGGCCCATTTACAACTGGACCGCTACTGGGCCGAATACAAAGCCACTAATGGGCTGTACAAATGAGTAAGTGTGAAATCCGATTCTGGGAGGTCTTCTTGGCCGAATAGGGCGTGGCCGACGAGGGCACGACCGACGAGGGCACCCGGGTTCCTTGGGCTCAGGACCATAATCCGAGTTGGCACCTTCTCGGCCGACGGGGGCGTCTTGGCCGACGAGGGCGCCACTCTGTTGTCTTGTGCTTTCTGTTCTTCCGAGTATGTGGGTCCTGGGGCTCAGACCCATATACTCCATCAGGAGTCCCCCACTCTCTAAGCTGAGACGTAGACGAAGCGAAGGAGAGTAGATTCCTGTGCTTTGTTGCCCTTGGCCGATGCGGGCATCCCCGGGCCGTTAGCCGTTGCGGCGTTGGCGTTGTTTCCTCTTTGGTGATCCTGTTCTGTGCTTTGGCCGTTACCTGTTCTTCGCTGTGGGCGGGGAGGCCGTTGTTTCCTTAAATGTGTTTGAGGATGATGACTGTCTTGTTTCAATGTCGGCCGTTGAAGGCGCGCTTTCCCTTTCCTGGACGTTGGTGGTTGAAGTTTATGTTTGGGCCGGTGAGGCCGTTGAGGTTGTTCCTTGCTTTGAGGACGATGGCGTCCTTTCCTTTGGGTGGCCAATGAGGGTGTTCGCGCACTCCTTTTGGCCGTTGCTGGTTGGCCTTCGTGTTCTTGGCCGAAGGGCCCGTCAAGATTAATTGTTGGCGGAGGACGATGAGTGTCCTTACCTCTAGTGGCTTGTTGGCCGTCGCTAATGACGTTATGGGCCTTTGGCCGATGAGGTTCCGTTGTGCTGTGTGG